CCTTAGACCTTCCAGTCAGGCTGGTATGACACAGGTTACAGGTATTCTATCCCAACCAATCATGGAAGACAGTTAGCTATAACACAAAAAGAATTGTAAATTTTCGTCATCACTGGGATTTGAACTCTAGACCTGCCACTTGAAGGTTGACAACCTATTCACTTCACTAGGTCACCACACCCCAATAATTAATTATGTTTGATACATATGTATGTATTATTAAATATTTATTTTGATAATTGGTAATACCGAATTATTAGTTTTTCAATATAAGTGTGCAAGGAAAAACTGAAGTTTCAGGCTTTCAATTATATGACATACCAGAAAAACTCTTATCAGTAAAAAAATAACAGTAATGCACAATTGAACTTCAATTGTATATTATTGTTATATGTCATTAATAAAGATTTTTCTAGTAAATCATATAATTGAAAGCCCAATGTTTCACTTTTTCTTTGCAGCATTCATATTCACTACTTGTACATTAAACCTATTTTAAACAGCAATCACAATATAACTTAAGCAAGAGATGATCAAATTAAAGACTGTAAATCGAAATACGATTAATTCTAAAACATGCATAATAATATGTTTCACATAAATCAGCATAGAATAGATAAACAGATGAAAAAGAAATATAACAATAATATGGTTGCAAAGATAGAGAATCTTAATACTCAACTAGGAAAAGCTTGTGTTTCAGTATTGTGCTACAAGAAGAAAACAGAATAAAATTATAAAACAATTTACGCATTAGAGTTTTACTCAAATTAGAAAAAAAAGATTTGGTTTTTTTATATTCAAATAAGAAATATGAAAAGCTTACTATTTTACTAAGAAGCACCCCAAGGTTTTATACTTGAAATTATTTAATACAAAGGGATTAATATAATAAATATGTGAATAAAAATTATTTTCTTGTCAACGATTTCTTTATAAACAAATTTAAATTAAATAAATTTCTACCCTATGCTTGCAATAAATTATAATGTTCTATGATAGAAACTATAAAGATATCAAGTGAAGTCAATTAATAATATTGAATGATAAAAAAAAAAATAGTATTAAATATAAAAAAATTAAACAATCCAAATATCAAAAAAAAAATTAGAATCTATGCAGTTATGTCATAGCAAAAATTACAAATTCCAGAAATAGGCAGTGAATTTCTAACAGTAGAGAGCTTCAAGAAAGCTGGTTAGCAAAGTACTAAAGCAGCAGACTTTGCTTTTAGTGTATCATTATCAAAAGTTTTGCGTAATGAAAAAGGTGGTCATACTCCTTTTGTTACCTTGCAGTATATAATAGATGGTAAATACAGAAATAACTATAATATTACTGAAGAAACTCAAAAAAGAAAAAAATACACAAAACATCAGAGCTGTCCTGTTATTTTAAAGGTTATTTTGAATAAAAATAATGTTTGGGTAGTATATTTTTATAAAGACCAACATAATCATGAACTTCTTCTCCTATCACAAGTTCACTGTTTTCATCAATATCAGATTCCCAAAATAGAACAAAAAGAGCTAGTTAATATAATGCTTAGAAGTAAAGCACCAACTCGATCAATTGCTAATGCAATATAATGGAAAAATAGAACTATATACACTAAAGATATTATAAATGAATATGATCAAATTAGAAATGCCTTGAATAAAGGCTCAAATTGTAACACTATTATAAAACTTCTGCATATGTGGAGGAATGTTAGTATCTAGTTTAACACTTGTTATCAAAAGACAGGTCCATACAAAACTTATTTTTTATACATATTGAGGCAGCATGTTAAGCAGCCATATGTCTGGAAGTACTAATGATAGATGCTACCTATAAGACAAACTTATATAAGCTTCCTCTTATCAACACTGTTGGTGTTAGTAATATTGGAAATGCTAAAACTCTTAATACATACCAAATTGTGATGGCTTGGGTTGCAAATGAGCAAGAACATACATATAAATAGTTTTTAAATACATTGAAAAAGACAATTTACAATACTTTTGCTTGTTCTCCAGAAGTATTTGTATCTGATAGGGATCAAGCCCTTCAAAAAGCAGCAGATAGCATTTTCCCAGCAGCAAAAAAAATGATATATATTTGGCATATACTTGCACAAAATTTACCAACTACATGTAGAAAGCTTTTTAACTCTAACGAAGACTATAACAAGTTGTTATTATCAGTTCAAAAAGTTGCTTATGTCAAGGAGATAAATAAAGTTGAAAATACATTTAATGAGGTGAAACAAGTAGTAGCTAAGAGTAGAGATCCAAACTATATTGAGAATTATTTTGAGGAATGAAAAAAAGATGCTAAGTGTTGGATGCATGTTTATACAAAAAATTATCCACATATGGGCATTCAGTCGACATAACGAGCTGAGAGAAGTCATGCTAGATTAAAAAAAGTGATAGAAGCAGCAAGTGGGTTGGAACAGGTTTTTCACATATTGATCACGCTTTCTGTCAACACAAATTAAAAATGAATAGTGCCTTAGGATTAAACATTGTTTCTGCAGATCTATTTATACTTAACAACAAGAGATTTAAACAACTGCTTGGAAAAATTTCTAGGTAGGCAATTGATCAAATAAAGAAAGAGATATGTGAGACTGAAAACAACAATAATAAAGATAATAACAACTGTAAATGTAGTTTAAAGTTAAATTTTAAATTACTATGCCATCATATAATTCTATCAATAGGACCTATTCCGCTTTTAATTATACATCTCCGCTAGTATCTAAAACATAATTCAGTGCCATTATTATTTTCATCATCATTGTTAATTGATATAGCTGCTAGTAAAGCTTTATACAAGCTCAAGGATAAATATAAAAGCTTAAGTGATTGTGGATCCAAAACTACATTGTTAGATAAAATTAAAGCTTTAGTTGCTAAGAAAAATATAATTCCAAAGGCACTATTACATATCAAATCTAAAAGACAAACATCTACTAAATGTGGTCTTCTTCGAAGTGAGTATCAAAATAAAGTTGCCGCAAGTAAAGAGAAAAGCACAAAAATGGAGAAAAATATAATAAAAGAGAAAAATAAAAAAAAATAAAAAGACAAAAAAAAAATAGTGTTAAAGCCTATAACAAATTTACAACAACCATGACAATTCTTATATCACAATCAAATACCTATTTATATACATGAATATATAAAAGAGGTTATTGATGTGAATGGAGATAGCAATTGTGGATACAGAGCATTAGCAGTATGTTTAGAAAAAAATGAAAGTGAATGGCTAGAGATAAGAAAAGAATTGTATAGAGAATTGAATGAAAATAAGCAATTTTACAAAACATTATTTTTAGTTAAAGATAATTATGAAACAATTATAAAAGAAGTTTTCTGAACAGATAGTCCTTATATATTCGAACACTGGATGAGGATGCCACAAATTGGAGATGTTATAGCAAATGCTTATCAAAAACCATTATACTTTTTCTCACTGCAAGTAAATCTTACCTTTCTTCCATATCACCAACCATTAAACCGAAATAAAGCACTCATGATTGCTTTTGTTAATAATAATCATTATGTAACTATAGTTTTAAAACCTAATGCTTCTGTACCTCCAATTGTTAATTAATGGATGCAGTTTGCTACCTTGGCAGCATCCCGATAGAGACTATTAATTCAAGATTGTATTTCTAAGTTTCTTTTAATAAGTACTCCAATTGACAAAAAAAATCCAAAAATGCAAGATAAAAATGATATATTAATAGTTATTTAAGAATATTTCATATGCTTTTTTAAGATGCTTCATGTATGTTTTATGCTTTTTAAGAATACTTCCATATACTTTTTAAGAATACTTTCACATACTCTTTAAAAATACTTCTGCATGCTTTTTAAGAATACTTTCACAGCATTATAAGACTTCTGTTTACTTATAATTAGAAAAATTATGGATATTTATAATACATACGTATGTATTTGACTGCTTATTCGAATAAGTTGAATAATACTATCTTAAATTTGAAAATGCATATTATTATTTCATATGTTCTGAAGCGATTGCTAAAAAACAATGCACTTTTTCTATTATAATTATTAAAATTTTAGTGCAGTATTTTAATATTGACATGCATTTAATAATACAATATTAAGGTCAAATTATAATGTTATACAGTTGTGTTACACGATTTTAATAATCATGTGATTGCACTGTTCCTATGCACTGTCCATAGATCGTCCGCAATCTACAGACAGTTCTTAGAAACAGTTCAAATCATATAAATAGTTAGTTAAAGACAGTTAGGATTAGTGGTTCGAAAATTCTTTTTATGCCTTATAATTCATGCTCAGCCAATTAGATAATAGCAGATCAAGCACATAATTATTAATTATATATATTAGCTTTGATATAAATTGCATATATACATACTCACATACTAATGTGTGTAATTTTTTTTATTCTTATAATGAATTTTAAAAATAATAATTTTCCTAAGCTTGGTAATCATTTTTTAATATTTGAAAGTGCTATATTATTTTTGCAACTTTATGCCAAACAAAATAGTTTTGCTATTATTCTTACAAATACATATAAAACTAATGGAATTTATTTAAAATTTATATATACTTATCAAAAATCTGACAAGTATTGTAAATATAAATCAGAAAATTTCATTTAATAAAAACTGGTTGTTTATTTATTATTCATTTTTGTTATTATAAAATTGATAATAATTATGAAATTATTTTAGGTCAACTTAAACATAATCATATAATGTTTCTTAATTTTATTCAATTTGCAACTATAAATCAATATTTAACAACTAAGAATGTTGTACTTATTTAACTTTAAAAAAATCATCAACTTGAAACCTGTATTATTATTTTACTTCTTACTAAAACTACAAATATATTCATAAAAAAGATGTTTATAATGTTCTTTTACAAATTAAATAAGCAAAAATAAATAGTCTTATTGAAATTAAATTTTTAATTAAAAATCTTCATAAAAATTTAGAAGTTGTTACATATTTTATTATTAATAAAATAACAAATAAAAAATTTCTTAATAGAGTATTTTAGATCTATTGTACTAATTTTACTTATTTTGCTAAAGATCATAATGTTGTTATAATAGATACAACATATAAAATGAATCAGTTTAATATGTTATTAGTTGCATTTGCTTTGTAAATACATATAGTTTAATATTTATTTTTGCTTTAGCATTAATTAGTCAAGAAACAATTACACATTATATATGGATACTGGATTGTTTTAAGATGATTTTAGTTAATTTTATAGAAAATTAAACAATTAAAACATTTTTTACAAATCATAAACTTGCTTTATTAGTTGCTATTGAAAATATATTTCTATTGTTAAAATCACAATTATATATATTTCATATTCAAAAAAAAATTCTTAAAAATTTAAAACCTAAATTAGAAAATCAATATTTGATTTTATTAAAAAATTTATAATAATTACAAATTACAAAGAAGATATTAAATTTGTAGATCAAAAAATAGATACATTATTACAAAATTATTCAGTAGCAATTGATTATATTACATCAACTTAACTTTTATATAAACATTATTAAATTTATACTTATATTAAATTTTTTTTTTTTTTTTTTTAACCTTAAGCAGTCACACTAGTACTTTATTAAAACTCTTGAAATTACATTTGCAATTACATAGATTTATCTAATAACTAAGTCTAGCATCATCTGGCCACCTAACAGATACCTAAGTGCAACCTGCTGCACTACTTCAAACAGAAGTAGGCTACTTGTCTAACTACTTAAAGTCTGTAATAAAAGGGTCTTCTCCCTTCCATGACAAGCCCCAACATTGTTTTTCTAGTTTCTTTATTAATTCTATTCTTTTTCTCTTTTGCTCGGTTTCTTTCTTCTTCAAACTTTTGCTGATTCGCCTTTTCTTTTTTTTCTGGATTCTTCCTTTTTACTTCTTTCTTTTTCATTTTGGTGTTATGCCTTCTTTTTTCTCTCATTCATTAATTTTTTCATATCGTATCCTCTAGACTTGTTCATAAAATGTGTTCCATGCTGTTTTTGCTACTGTCTCTATAAAATGCTGTCTTGCCTTTGTACTAAAAAGCTATATTAGTCTGTCTTGTGTCTTTTTTGGAATTAGGTCTTTAATTAATGCTTCTCTTATTTCTATTTCTTCTGCTTCAACCTTTTCAAAGAGTGCTGTATATAGTACATATGGAGGGATGCATGTTTTATCTTCTTCTTTCAACCCTTTCCAGGCTGTTGCAATTGTCACCTTTTGAATTCATTTCCAGAGACTTTATTGTCCTTTGCATGATGCTAAATGTAATTGTATTTCTTTGACTTTGTCCTGGCATACTTGGCACTCTGTTGTTATATATATATCTGGCCTTCTTCTATTAAGTTCTTCTAAGATTAGGAGTTTATCTATTATGCACTTTATAAATGCACATCTTCTTGTACTACTTCTTCTTGTTGTGCAATGCACTCCTTTAGT